GCGCAAGCGGTTGGAAATAGTGCACCACGTAGAACAATGCGATCTAGATGTAGTGGGGATCCAAGAGACGTGGGAATTGAAGGATGGTATACGTCCCACCGTCGTCGAAGAAAGTCGCAAGCAAGGCGCAGGAGAACGTTGGACAAATTGGGAAATATGTCCAGAGGTTCAGTAGTAGGAAGGGAGAAGTTGTCATGGTGGGCGATTTCAACTTCAGAGTAGGGAAAGCTTCCAGTAAAGAACAGGCGATCGGGCAGCATGGAGAAGACAACGTGAATGACAACGGAGTGAGGATGCTTGAATTCTTGGGAAGCATCGAACCGATGGTGTTGAACGGTAGGAGGGAATGCGATAAGCCGGAGTTCACCAAGCAAAGGGCAGTTTGAAATGAATGCTCAATCCTCGACTACATCATTGTAGATAGGGGGAGCACGCAGATCCCAGAGTTGCACGTAAGTGCGATAGATATGGTTCGATCGACTACTTCCTCCTATGGGCAAACATCGACCGATCTAGAAAGATGGAGAGTGAGAAACAGAGGAAAGTGTTCCGGTGGAAAGTAGAGCGTTTGGGAGACGAAACGACACAGGATGAATTCCAGAAGGGACTGGCTGGTGGTGTAGAACCCTTCATAAAACTGCTGAGAAGCGTCGAAGACGAACGGGTAGTCGTACAAGCAGCAGGGGACAGGGTGATTGAAGGGTGGGAGTCCATCGTGAACGCAACGGCAGAGAGAGTAGTAAGAAAGAAGGTGGTACGATGTGGCGTATCGATTAAGTGGTGGGATGAAGAGCTGAAAGAAGAAATAGGGGAACGTAGAGAAGTCTTGAAGCAGTACCTGAGTGAGGCTTCTGAGGAGAGTTGGGGAAAACAGGGCCAAAAGAAACAGGTGAAGAGACTATTGAAAAAGAAGAAAAAGTGTATTCGGGACGAAGTAGTGCAGAAGGCCAACGGAGGCCTGGAGGGGAACGTCAAGCAGATGTGGGAAGGGATTAGTGGAATGGTAAAAAAGACCGCGCAAGGGGGGGATACAGGGGTCGCAACTTTGCGAGGTGTGAACGGTGGATTAGTCAGCAGTGGGAAGGGAAAAAGGGAAGTTCTAGCAGGACACTACAAGAGGCTTGGAGTGCCCTCGGAGAATGAAGCTTGTGACCAACTGTTTTAGAAGGAGGTGAACGCATGGGCCCAAAAAGAAGAGATATCGAAGGCAGACGTTGTTGGGAACGTAGAACTAGAAAAGGAGTTCACTGAGGACGAGGTTGAGGCGTGTGTGAACAAGCTGAAGTGCCACAAAGCAGCAGGAGCGAATGGGATAGTCAACGAGTTCATGAAGTTTGGAGGAAAGGGGATGATCCAGCTGATGGTACTGCAATACAATTGGGTGCGGAAAAACATACGCCAAGTAGATGGAGGGAAGGAGTGGTTGTGAACTTGTTTAAGAAAGGAGACAGGACTGACCCAGGAATCTACAGGGGGATCACACTGTTGAACACAGTACGAAAGGTGTTCTGTAAGTTGGTGAACGATAGGATAGTGGGAGTATTGGAGAAGGAAGATAGCTTTAGTGAGGGCCAGGCAGGTTTCCGAAATAAGAGGGGGGTGCGTAGACCACGTATTCACGGTAGGGAGAGTCATCCAAGGTGGAAAGCGGGCGGGAAAGCCGACGTACTACTGCTTCTTCCTGGACGTGAAAAAGGCAAACAACACCGTATGGAGAAATGGGTTATGGAAACAACTGTCCAAAAACGGGATCAAGAGGAAAATGTGGAGAGTGCTGAAGAAGATGACAGAGTGCACGAAAAGCGCGGTCATGCTAGACGGAGAACTGTCAAAATTCTTCGACATTGAGCAGGGGGTCCCACAAGGTTGCACGCTGTCCCCAACATTGTTCCAGGTGTTCATCAACGATCTGTTGGAAGTCGTAGAGGCAGTCCGGAAGGGAGTAAAAGTAGGGGGCACGGAAACGTCGGTTTCAGGAATGCTGTTTGCGGATGATTTTGTCGGTATGTCGGACACCCCTGAGGGACTGCAACTGCAAATTGACGCGGCGAAGAAGTTTACTGATAAGTGGAGATAGTTTACCAACGTTAACCCTTTTGTGACGGGAGTTACTGTGGCTCTTCCGGGAGACACAAAAAGCTGTTTACCACCAAAAGTCTGAAATTTGGAAATAGAAAGGGGAAGAAGGACGAAGAAGTCTGACCGGCCGCACACATACGTTGCGAGCAGCGCCCGCGGAGTTGCGCGCAGCCAGCACGAGCAAATAGAGCATGTGCCGTGGCCGGGGCCGGGGATAGAGTATCAGGTACACCCCGAACGGTCTGAAGGGGGAAGGCCCACACCCACCATGGACTTAGACTGCAAGTATTCGCAACGGACACATCGCAATCACCCACAAACTAGAGAAAAAGGCTGGTTCGTAGCTGCTGCATCAACACAGCACCCCGTACACGATGGCTGTCTTCTTTCTCTCTCTCTCTCTCTCTCTGGTACCACGAATGCCTCGCCCCGAGCGATGGGCAATCTAACAGTGTCCTACCCGTTTGATCAGTGCCCTTCCGGTGCCTTTCAGTAGGCAACACAACATTAGAAACACGCAGGATCGGATGCGATCCGGCAAACGCGGTCGAACGCATTTTGCTGAAGATACAAAATGCACATCAACAGCACATACATCATGCAACGTCTAGCACTGCCGTCAGGTCATGAACGAGCCTTTACCGCCATTGAGGACGTAGTCCTATCCCTTGCAAGGACTTAGGCACAAGCACGCGGCGAAAGATTGCGCATGGCCCTCTGCCAAGCACGCCAGAACAGGTGTCACCCAGTGTAAAAAATCAGTATGATTTTTTCACATAAGCCACGCGGGACCGCTGTCCATACGTAATTAGACTAGGGTGAGAGATTGATGGAGAGGGAGAGTGTACTGAAAAAGTCCCGCATGCCTTCAACGCCGATAGCGATGTCGATACCCCACGGAGCCCCTCTGGCCAGCGCTACACACGCAGTTCACGTCGACAATAATGGACGACATGGACGACGTAGCCGCTTTCTGGCAGCACCATGCTGAGGGTTTCTGTCCACAGGGCAACCCGCTCGAAGTTTGGGAAGAATTACTGCTCATAGCAGCACAAACGCCTGAGCGTTTCCGCGAAGCTTTACAAGCGGCCGCAGTCGCTGTTTGTGCCCGGTACTGCAACCACGATACTCCGCCGGGTCCGCTCCCTGATATCAGCAAACTGCCGGAGAGGCAGGCCGCCGTACAGCAACACGCTGGATTCTGCGGAAAGTACTACGCGGAACACATCGCCAGCATCGACGTCACCATGGTGAAAGAGAGGGCAGCAGGAGCTGAGATCACAACGAAAAGAATGAGGAATCAGGTGTGTGTGTATTGGACTGCTGTGTTGTGGGGTATGCACTGCTGTGTATGTGTGCCAGGAAATGTGTACGAGGCCAGAGTGGTGGTGGGAGTGCCACACGAACGACATCTATCTGTCTGTGGCCTGCTGACACTTTAGGCCGGAAAGAGAGGCACGTTGTGTTGTTGTGTTGAATACTTCACATATACGACCTGCAGCTGTTGACACAACTTCGACACCGCGAGAGAATCGGTGTTTTTAGCCTTTGACGTTGTAGGTGTCCTGCTGCTGTCAGCAGGCAAAGAAGCTTGTGATGAAAGCTTACTTGTGCGGGAAGTACGCCGACGGGCGTGATGGCGGATCAGCTACATGTGTAGTCTATACATAGTTCTGGCGGGGGGGGTTGTTATCGTCTGGGTCGACGTACTCACAGCCTGTTATCAAAGGCGCTACAGCAGTAACAAAATCGCTGGTGCTTTGTTCCACTAAATTTTAGTCGGACAACATCAAACACCTCGCGGCGTGACCTGATCTTCCTAGGGACAAATTCTCGTTGTCGAGAATCTATGTGGACAGGCATAAACAGCACCACCTACCATGTTGTCGCGTTCACACCGATGCCCTTGACGCGTGCAGGCCTGCTACGACGCCGGGACGGCGCTCAACGCGCGAGGCCGTGGGGTTCAACTGAGGAGGCAGGAGTGCTTCACCAAGGCCTGCCGCGCGGTCTGGCCTGACGACCAGCCGCTGCTGCCCGCAGCTGTACTTGCCGCTCTTTGGATGAAGTGTGTGGCGCACGTGCCATCGGCTACGCACGCATGGCAAGGTAGCCATGTTGTCTGTTTTGATGAAGCCGAGACCGGCGGGCGAATGTGCTGGCTCGATTTCCCAATGGGCGAACGGGCTAGGGTAATTGCAGCATATTCGACATCAACCGAATATCAGCCAGGTCTCAAACATGAACGGCGCACGTGTGTGTTGACGGGGCGGGCTTTGGTGTGTCCCTGTGTATGCTGGAAAGGCTAGTTGTTCATGTGCTGCTGCTAATGGTGAAGGGTTGGGTCAACATTCCGTAACACCTTCGTTGTGCAAAAAAAGTAGGAACACGAGTTCGTCACGGTTGTTGTCGGTCGCGCGGAGCAGGGCGGACTTGCACTCCGGGTGTCACAAATGAATAAACATAAATGAATTTTAAAAATGTGTTTGGCAAGAAAGACATTCGGAAACGTGGTTCTATGTCTCTTGGTTCTTTTGCGAGAGTTTCTTTCGTCTGTCCTTCAGGAATATCTCGGAGGGGATTCCGACAGGTGCACGAGAACATGTGCGTTCAATTCGTTTGGCATTCGAAAAATTAGGCTCATTTATCCCACCTCATATCAACACAAGAAAAAGACGCAACATGGGCCCAGTGTTGAGACCTCCGAATTGCTGTCTCAAGTGGGCGACGGAGGTAGCGCCACCCCCAGTGACGTGGTTGACGCAGATGTCAGCGAAGACAACGGCTTCCGATGTCGGCGTTCCGATGCTCGTATTTTGTGGCCTTCGGGACCAGAAGACGGCGTGGAGATGCGCGAGGAGTGGATGTTAGGGGTGCCGAATTTTGATAGTTAGATGAGAGCACCCGTCTAACAGAACGACACAGCAGTTAAGAAGTAAGGACAAAGCAGCATAAGGACACAGCAGCAGTGAAGGTCTGCTGTTATAAACGGACACACACTCACCAACAGCAGCTAACCTCGTCCCAATCATTGACTTGGGAGGCACACCATCACACACAGCAGGCAGTAGTCTTAAGATGATACATGCATAGTCTAATGNTACGCAGACACGACACATAGACTGCTGGGGCTTGCACTGCTGCAAGGAAGGTTTACAGACACACATGACACAGACGATGCTGCAAGGTTCGCACATAGGCATCCACACATACTGCCGTATTATGACCATGCGATCGACAGGGGTTTGAAATTTTTTTATTTTAATATTTGTGTATGNTACATGCATAATATCCTACGACAGGCACATGACACATACATTTAGTTAGAACAGGCAGTCAGCCAGCAACACTCGGGTTGTACGCAGACACGACACATAGACTGCTGGGGCTTGCACTGCTGCAAGGAAGGTTTACAGACACACATGACACAGACGATGCTGCAAGGTTCGCACATAGGCATCCACACATACTGCTGTATTATGACCATGCGATCGACAGGGGTTTGAAAATCAAAATTTTTAATATTTGTGTATGCATGCGTACCTGTCCTCTTTCCACGTTCAATCCGTTCAGAAGAGAATGGTAGCCACAGTTACCATCTCCTCTGCACGAGACAGTCCTCAGTAGCTCCCGAGGTATGACGAGGTAGCTCGGACAGATTAAGTCCTGAAGCTCTCGATGCTGTCCTTGCAATGTGCCTCGGTCCAGGATAAGGGCAAGGCGCTCCTGCAGGCTAAGTGCTCGGATGGTGTGTTCGTAACGGTAATCACTCAACACATCAACGAGGAAGGCCTCTGAGTTTATGGTTGGCAGCGGCATAGAGCTCACAGCAAGAAGAATCGAAAGCAATCTCATGCCGAAGGGTTGCAAGAGGAGCAGTAGCATAC